AGAAATAGGAAGCTGAGGCGGATGAGGCAATTTGATAGTGGTTCTTCCAGCACCCACCTTTAAGTCATCAGCACCTGTCCCTTTGCCACCTCCCTGGCTGTCCAGGGAAGAGGCTAATTTGTGTGTAGTCCCTGTCATCTGCTCTACACCCTCCCTGTCTGCAGCCCAGCGTCCGCGCAGAGGCTTTCTGCAGAAAGGGCTTGAACTTAACATTTTAAACACTGAACACTGAAATGGAATATAAAAGGGTTTTAAAGCAAAACTACAAAGTAAGTTTTCACAGAGAAATTTCTGGGTGATGACTTTAAAGCAGCTGGTAGATCCCACAGCGTGATACCCCTTTGAAGTTCAGGCAGATGGGCTTTCAAGGGGAGCAACCCAAGGTCCTTCTCTTGCAGATGGAAAGGTTCCGAGCGGCTTTCTCAGGGGAGTGGTGCTCCTTAGCCTGTCTCGCCTTTGCCCTTGGAACAGATGGTTTTCTAATATGTGAGCATCACAAGGGTCTACATTCTTAAGCTTCGCTCACCTTGTATGAGAAATGTATTTTTTTCCTTTGCCAGGAAGGTACCAACCATACAGAATGAAGATATATATATATATCAAATCAGGAGAAAAGAAACCAAATTGAAACAGGAGAGATTACTGAAATTCAAACTCATTACAAGAAATATTATTTCTTAAAATAGCCATCCACTTATAAATTATGAACGAATGCCAGGTGTGGTGGCGCACACCTGTAATCCCAGCACTCGGGAGGCTGAGGCAGGAGGATTGTTGTGAGTTTGAGACCAGCCTGGGCTACAAAGTAAGCTCAAGTCCAGCCTGAACTGCATAGTGAGATCCTGTCTTAAGAAGACAAAAAAAAAATTACCAAAGAGTATGAGGAGGCTGGAATAGCCCCCATTTATTTTTCTTTATGCATTTCCTGCCTGTCTCCCCCTACAGTGAGTGCGCCAGTGAGGGCAGAGGTCTTGCCCCCTCACTCCCCGCTGTTCCCAGCCTTAGCACAGCACTTCGGCACACGGGTGCGCCTGCGTGCATTAACACAGGGTGGTCACCGCATTGTCCTTCCTGTTGGGTGGGCCATAACAGAGTGCAAGAGAGTCTAGTGTTGTGTTGTTTTGTTTTTAATAATACTGGAGATTGAACACAAGGCCTTTGTGCTGAGCTACATCTCCAGCCCTTTTTTATTTTTCGCTTTGAGACAGGGTCACACTAAGTCTCTAAGTTGCCCGAGCTGGGCTCCAACTTGCCACCCTCCTGCCTTAGCCTGGGCTTACGGGTGTGCCCTGGTACGCCCCGGCGCAGGAGGGTCTGTTTTACGTATGGAAAATCTAGAAGGAACAAGGACCAGTGGCTGCGGGCAGACGTTATAGCTCTGCCACCTAATCACTGTAAGAAGCTAAATTGCTTAAAGCTTGTAATCTACAGTTCCTCAAATTTGGGGGGAGCCCAAAATTTATTTGGCTAAAGGTGGGGTGTAGTATCGCAAAGGTAGTGGAGCAGCCAGAGGAAACCTGCTCATCTGACCATGGGCCCGAGGAGCCTGATGCCCACCCCAGTCCTTTGTGAAACTGGTCCTGGTCACTGGCTGCACCCTGCCTTAGACATCACTGGTGACAACTTGGGACTGACTGGGATTTCCTGGGCAGACCCTGCCTTGTGCAGACCCTGTTTGAGAATGGGGGTTGTTTTAAGAGCAGGCGCTGGTGAGCTGTCTTGTTTTAATCAAATTCTTGTTATCACAAGGTTTTATTCTGTCTTAGGGAGCTGTGCAGATCAAATGCGAGAAGGGCATGGACGTGTGTTTTAGCATACAGATTAGTACTCTGCTGTAAAGGATTACCATGCTGGAGGTTGTGTCCGCCAGCAGACCACCCAGGGATTTGTGTTTCCCTGGTGAGAACTCATAAATCTGTTGACCCTCCACCTGCCCAGCATAATCAGGCTTTGAAGACTGGAGTCCTGACATTAGTCCAACTTCCATAGGGGTTGCATGGCCCATCCCAATGCACTCAGTTAGAAGACCTGTGTTTTCTTTTAAATGCCATTGGCAACTGCATGCTGACTCCAGTACAGGGTTTCTCGGTCTCAGCACGGTGACACGGTGACCGGGTCGCTCTTTGATGCACAGGCTGTCCTGTGTGTTCTAGAACGTCCAGCTACATCCCCTGCCCCTGTGTCCTGGATTCTAAAGTACTTCAGTCCCCAAGTGGGGACAAAAATGTCTCCAGTCATTGCCATAGGTCCCCTTGTAGGGAGCAAAATCACCCCCAGTTCAGACCATAGCTTGAATAACGTAAATCTGTGAGGTATGGATTTGTTAACCTATTTTGATAGATGTCAAAGTATAGCTCAAAGTAGTTAAGGAACTTACTGAAGGCCGTGTCACTAATGCCTCTTCCGAGGGGTATGGGTACACCCTGCCCCTGCACATGGCCACCACCCAGGCATCGACACACTCAGTCATTCAGCAAATATTTATCAAGCACCTACTCTGTGCCAGGCGGTATTCTAGTTGTTCACTAAATATCACCGATGATTGGTATGGGGTGACACAGAGCTGTAAAAGACAGTTGCTTTAATAACCTGCTATAAATGTAGTGACCCATCTAACGATTTTGGATGCCTAAAGTCCCGAATCGTGTTCACCAGTCTAAGATCAAGGTGCTGGCAGGCTGTATCTGGTTTCCAGAGGCCATCTACTTCCTGACCCCCGCTTCCTACAACCCTCCTTCTAGCCCCCAAGCATTCATATCCATCCCAGGCATCAGAAACATTCATCCCACCCCGAGGTTCCCAGGGTCTTAGCCCATTATGATTTCCAGTCCAAAATGTCACCTAAATCTCATCCGCTCAGACTCCCACATCTCATCATCTAAATTGGCTAAATTAAGTGTGAGTGCGACTGTGTGTGTAATTCACCTTGGAGCAAAATCTCTCTCCGCCTGAGAACCTGTGAACCTGGAAAACAAGCGATCTGCTGCCGTGTCCCGTGGCGAGTCAGGTGTGGGATGATGGTAGCAGACAGTAATCAGTTCGGGAGGAGAGAAGGAAAGGGGCTTGAGAGGAGTCGTCAAACCCACGTCACTCCAAAATCCAATTGGGCCAGCTCCACTGGGCTCAGAACTTGGGAACAATTCTCTGCGGTTCTGGTTCTGCCCTCTCAGCCTGCAGTGCCACCCTTGGGGTCACCCTTCCTTTTCCAGGAAAGATAGCAGGTGTTTGTAGAGGCGTTTTCCCTGCCTATTTCCTGCCTGTTGAATTTGAGGAACCTGGCAGCCTTCTTTCCTTCTGTCCTTTCCTTCTCCCACTCAGCCCGAGCTGACAGTGTTTGCAGCTTGACATTCTCAGGAACCACACAAGACTCCTATATATGCTTCTAAGATTCGCGCTATTACACAAGCAGCTCCTGCGTGGATCTTTCCCGGATAATCCCGCCTCTAGTCCTGGCTTCTGCTGAAATGCCTGAGGGAATCAGAGAGTCACAGGTCTGATCCTCGCAGAGCCCGCTATGTGACTAGATGCTCCTGACTTCAGATCCTTCTGAGGCGCTGGCAAGAAGTTGCCCAGCCACACCCTTGGTTTTCTCTGCAGACCACTCTCTCCTGAGAGCGAATCTCCTAATTTTAGCACCCTTCACAATCTGGCTAGGCAGAGAACTTGCCAAATCAAGTCCTGGTTCCCTCTCATTCCCCGGTTCTTTCCTCCTGTATCTCACTCTGAGCAACAAGAAGAAAGCAGACCGTGTCTTCGACACTTCGCTTGGAAGTCTGTGCAGCTGACTATCCAAGCGCATGGTTTACAGGTTCTGCTTCCCATGTAGCGCTAGGACACGATTCAGCTAAGATTCTGCTCCTGCGTGACGTTATTTCTCATCTCCACTTTCCTGTTACATGTGCCTCCTCTCCCGACCCCTTGCCAGCAGCACCTTTAATGTCTATATTTCTGTCACTGGTCGGTTTAGGACGACTTCAGGATGATAAGAATTTTCTATATAGCAATCCCCACTTTCCCTGAGCCCTCAGTTCACAAGTACCTAGCATTGGGATGTAGAGGTCTTTGAGGAGCCATTATTCAGCCTATAACAACTATTCGGTTTATTGGTCAATCATCAAACGATCATCGATTGCTTTCATTTTCTCAGAGCTGTGATGGATACTACGAGGGCTACAGGGGCAGCGTAACAAAGCTGACCAAAAATACTGATTGGGTCAGATAGGTGTGTCCTACAGTCCTGGGCAAATGTTGAAGGGTGAAGTGTGCTGGTTTGGATGATATGCCTTCTGCTCACTAAATACAGATCTTCATGCTTAGTCATGGAGACAAAATAAACGTGCAAAAAATTATCAGGCCATTATAGTCAAGTGCTAAAGCGTAGATCTGAACACTCGGCCTCGAATCTCAGGGAGACAAAAGAAACTTGCCAAAGATTACCAGGCACTTCTCGTTAAGTGCTAAATGTTATGACATTTAGATGCCGTTAAACATCTGTAACATGCGGACAGCCCTCAGCAGCTCTCTGCTAGATGTGCGATCGTCTGGAATTTCAGGGTTTTGTGTTTGCAGCGTGGTCTCTGGACCTGCAGCCTCAGGAGGGCCTGGTAGAATTGTGCATGCCCATCCCAGGCCGAGGGAACCGGAAAATCGGGGGTCTGACCCCACAGTCCATTTTAGCTTCTTCATCTCTTGTACACTCATGCACACGCATATGCACACACACATGCGCACACCATTTCTGCGGCTTCTCAGGGAAATAAACATCATAAGCACTACCGTAAATACTGCTCCATCTAGAGCGTTGCTTATTTTTCTTGCCCTTCCCCACCCCCTGTCTTCAGACCAATGACATCTCGTGGGTTGAGATGTTATGATTAAATGCTAGTTTGGTGGGAATTTAGTTCTTTGATTCAAATGATCTCTTTTGAAATGAGGTGTTTTATTTTTTTCTCTCAGAATATCCTATCTTATTTTCCATCTCTCTCCTTGGCTGTCGGCAGGAGCTGAGAAAAAGCCCGGAACTTAGCGTAAATCTACAAAGGAAACAAAAGGATTGTTCTAGCGATGAACACGACTCTATCGAAGAAGACATCCTCTCTGAGCCCGAGCCTGAGGACCAGGAGCTCCTGGGCCGTCCCAAAGATGACCCCGCTCTTTTCAGTGGGGACTCGGGGCAGAACAGCTTTCCTGAGGACCGGGAGGTGGAAGGACAGCCTGCCTCGGGCTCAGACGCCCTCATGGTGCTGGAATTCAACCAGGCTTCCAAAGGTGAGCTCTGTCTTGTGTGGCATTGTTTTGCCTTTGGTGTCTCTGGATCTGTTCACAGGCCTTGAACTTGCAGCAGCCTCTCGAATTTAGCTTTGAGGTCTGTCTTGCAGGCCAGGGCGCTGTGTCTATGAAAATTCTGCTGACTGCAAGAGGCAAAGCCTCCCCGGGGCTCCCAAATGACCCTGAAGTCCCACGTGGTGAATGTGTGGCAGATAGCTGTGGAGGGCTGTCCTGTGCATTGTGGAAAGTTTAGCAGCATTAGAGCTAGGTGTCATGGCGCACGCCTGTCATCCCAACACTCAGGAGGCTGACGCAGGAGGATCACTGAGGATTCGAGACCAGCCTGGGCTACAAAGTGAGCTCAAGGCCAGCCTGCACTGCATAGTGAGACCCTGTCTCAAAATGACAAAAAAAAAAGTTTAGCAGCATTTACCTGTCAGCTGGCTCATGCAGAGTAGCTTATACAAAAGGAGCTAGTTATTGGCTCTGTAGTAGCACTCACTTCTCCTCTCCCCACCCGCTTCGCCTCTCCTTTCTTCTCATTCTTTTTATCTCTCTTCTCTTTCCTTTGCACTATTTCCAGTCTTAGACAGGTCTAAAATACAAAGGCACTGTTGCCTTCGCACGAGTCATTACTAGCTTTGCAACCCTATCAGAAAGTAAATCTTGCTTTGCTAAAAGGTCTCACACAAGTCCCAGGCATGGCTCCCAAAACCACAGTAGGGCCCTCCCCTGAACCGTGTGCTGCCTGAACTAACGACAACGGCTCTGAGGGCCCAGGTCCGGCCGGCGGTGCTAAGGGGTGCGGTGCCTCCACCCAACCCTATGGACGGACCGTGCCGCACGGGAGTTTGAAGAGGAAGGCAAGCTGCCAGCAGGCAGAGCCACCGTTTGTCTCCGGCTGGAGCCCGTGGTTGGGCAGAATCAGCATGACGGGGGGATAAGGAGGAAAAGCTGCTTACCTCATGGCGACCTGGGAGCAGAGAGTAAAGAGGGGAGCCTGGTGGATACACCCTGCCGGGCTGTGCCCCTAAGGTCCACTCTTCCAACAAGGCCTCACCGCCCGGTGGCACATTTAGCTCTAGTGCCAGGCACCTGCACAAGCCCGCCTCTGAGCGTGTGAGGTTTTGGGGCACGCCCACTGTAACTCGGGATGTGCCAGCCAAGAGAAGGCTGTATTTTCTGAGTGCATGTCAGGAGAGAGGAATGGGGGGCTATTTGAAGTGCAGTACATTAGCTTGCTTGGGATGCCAGAGCAGAGCACCACAGGTTAGAGGCTCACACAACAGAAACTTGATGACGTCTCGGTTCGGGAGGCTACGAGTCCAAGACCTATGGTCAGTTTCTTCCGAGGCCCTGTCCTTGGCTTGGGCATGGCTGTCTTCTGCTTGTGTGCTCATGCTGTCCCACCCTGTGTCTGGGTCCTAATCTCTTTTCAGAAGGACTCCACCCCAGTGACCTCACTTAACTTAGCTGCCTCTTTAAAGACCCAGTCTCCCAATGCAGCGGGTAGCGCTTCAGCGTATGTGTTTGGGGGCCTTAACTAAGCCCCTAGCTGGCAGTCCTAGGAAAGCCTCATCCGAGGCAGGAGTCCCCAGAGAAGACAACACCGGCCCCTCGAGGTGCCCTCCTGTGCTCTGTCTGTCCTCGGACGCGCGCCCGCCTAGATTCCCGCAGCCCTGCTCTGTGCGCCTTTCCTGAAGACCTGCTCCAAGGCACCTCCCCACCAAGCCTTCTCTGAGCTCCCAGCAGGGCCACGCAGGTCAGCTCCTGTGCCCCCATTGCCGCCATGGCGCTGTCCTCACCCACCCAAGTTGCCTTCCTCCTCCTGAGGCCTGTGACGCTCGGCCAGCGCCACCGGCCAGCGCCGCCCTGCACTGCATCCCCAGTGTGCAGCACCCGGAGGTCACTCCGGAGGTCACTGTTGAGTAAACCGGTGGTCCTTAACCTTCTGGACAGTTTTCCCATGGACTGGTGGGAGGGAGGGTGGTTTCAGGGTGATTCAAGCATATCCCATGTATTGCACACTTACTTCATTTCTATTATTATATTAGATTCTAATGTAATAATAGGGGTGAGCAACCTAGATCCATCACCCGCACAGTCCCCAGCAGGTTCACGCTCCTATGAGAATCTGATGCCGCTGCTGGTCTGACAGGAGGCGGAGCTCAGGCAGTGCCATGAGCGATGCAGACTGGCTGTAGATACGGATGAGCTTCGAGCACTTGCCCGCCACTCACCTCCTGACAGGCCACTGACCTATGCCAGTCTGTGGACCGGGGTTGGGGGTCTTTGGAATAGACAAAGGTGTTGCACCCCTTCTGCTAGAGCTTCAGGTGGCAGGGCAGTGCTGATGTGCTCTAGGCCAGGGGCTGGGGTGGGGTACGCGAAGGTGACCACCCCCACCCTGGTCCGTGAGTGAGGGGCAAGAAGCCTTTCCTCGTATGAAGGACCAGGCCCCAGAAGGCACTCAGCACAGGCACGGTTCGAGAGTGCTGCTGGGGTGGGAGTGTGGGGAGAGAACTTGAATTTCCTACCGTGTCACATTCTGAGCAGTGAGATTGCTTGGAGGCCACGGCCACGGTACTGTCGCCACAGGCGGGCTGGCCAGCACACACACACTGTTCTGCTTGTCCACTGCTGCCGTGTCCCTTGGTCCCCTTTCACCTGTGGCTGCTGGCTAGCTGTGTAGCCCCAGGAAGAGACAGGCTCCCACCAAGAGGAGCAGGCGGGAGGCCACAGGGATGCTTGTGACAGCTCCCTAGACCCCAGTGTGGGGTTAGAGCTCCAGACCCACCCGGAGTATTTACCCAAGGCCAGTTGGCAGTAACCTGAGGAGCTACACTTGGTTCCGAGCTGTCCATCCATCCGTTCTCTCACTCGCTTGTTGGTGTGATCACTGGGCACCTGTCACCCTCAGGCACTGTACTGGGATGAGACCAGCCTAGTCCTGCTCCGGTGGTGCTTACAGTCTAGCAGGGAAAGCAGAAAGCACATAAACACACAAGTAGTAAGAACTGCTGTTTATTGAGCTCTTGTTAACATGGGCCAAGCACTGTTCTGAGGGCCATCCATGGAGCCCCTCGTTTAACCCTCACCACGACCCCAAGGAAGACACTTCATTGTGCTTGTGCTACAGGTGCAGAAACTGAAGCCTGAGTAAGTCACATAACTTGCCCGAGGTCACACAGTTAGAAAGGGGCAGAGCTGGGATCAGAATCCAGCGGTCTGGTAGCACAGCCTGAGTTCTTAATCACTGGGCCAAATAAGTAAGCCAGATAAAGGCAGAAAGCGATCGCTGGACTTTGGGGAGCCAGTAAGCAGGCCTTGGTCTTCCCTCCAGGGGTGTGGATCAAATGAGAAGCAGGCATGGGGCTCCGAGGGACAGAAGTTCTTAACCAGTCCCTGGAATGGGGAGGGTCAGTGTCACGCATCTGGTTAGGGAGTCGGGCAGGGAGCGACTGGTCTTGATAACTCTGGAGTTTGCAGCAGGGGACTGGCAGGTGCGATGGGTCCGCTGTGGCCGGGGAGGTCAGGGAAGCCTCCCCAGGAGAGCATGATGTTGACAGCGGGGCAGAAATGACAAAGACGCCTCAGCCACAGGCACTGCCCCCCTACAAGGAACAACGCCCCCCAGGACTTCAGGAAGCAGGGAGCTTGGGGGCCTTGGGACAGAAAGAGGGCTGAGCGTGTAGACGAGGACCCAGGTCAGGAGATTCGGGGCCACGCTCCCTGAAGACCTGAGGCTCGAGGCTCATACCAGGAGTCTCTGGCCTGGCACCCTGGAAATGACCCTTGCAGGTACTTTTTGATGACAGAAGCATCCTTGTATGAACTGTCTGCACGTAGACTTGTTGATGGCTGCAGGGCCATCTTGTGGAGAGGAGGGGGCCAGTATCCAGGGAATAACGTGTGAGAGGGCTGTGCTCAGAGCCAGGTAGCCTGGTCAAATCCCAGCTCCAGCCCTTTCCAGCTCCGTGACCTTGGATGAGCTAACCGAACCTCGGAGCCCACCCTTGTAATAGGATCGACGTATGAGTTTCCTGTTGCTGCTATAACAAGTTACCACAAACTTGGCTTAAAACAACAGACTTATTCTCTCACGGTTCTGTAGGTCAGTAGTCCAAGGCGAGTCTCACTGGGCCCAAATTGGAGACTTCGGAGTATGTTCCTTCGGGAGGCTCAGGGGAAGACCTGTCCTGGCCTTTCCCGGCTCTTAGGGGCCACGCGCATTCTTTAGCGCAGGGTGCCCTCCATCTTCAAAGCAAGCAGCTAACGCTGGGTCCTTTATGGCTGCTTCCCCAGCCGCAGCTGCCTGGGAGCCCCCTCCTTGCGAGCTCCTTTTCCACGTGTGCGTGTGTGTTATTGTGTGATACTATGGCAGAATATCTCTAACCTGAAATGTATCGTTTCAACCACTTGTTACAGCGTCACTAAGCGCGTCACATTGTCCTGCAGCCATCACTACTTGTCTTCAGCTTTTCCGCCATCCCAAACTGTCCCTTGTCTACTTGTAAGGGCTCTTATGATTACACTGGGTCCAGCCAGATAATCCAAGATAAGCTCCTCCTAAGGTCAGGGTAGGTCCCCTCTGCCTCTGCCTGTAACTCAGCCTGCAAGGTGTGGGGAGTAGGATGGGGACATCTTTGGGGGTGACTATTCTGCTGTCCCCCCCAGAGTGTGTGCCTACCCCTGGGATATCTGGGCGAGCCAGTAAGATGTGTGTGCTGAGGGCCTGGGCCCTGCAGAGGCTCTTATTGTCATCAGTGTATTCCCAGCCCTTGGGGAGCAGCCAAGGGTCATTTGCCCCTTGCCATTTTTTTTTTTTTTTTTTTTGTATGTGTGTGTGTCTTTCTGAGACAGAGTCTCGCTATGCAATTCAGGCTGGCCTTGAGCTCACTTTGTATCCCAGGATGGCTTTGAACTTTTAACGATCCTCCTGCCTCAGCCTCCCAAGTGCTGGGATTACAGGCGTGCACCAGCACTCCCAGGCTTCCCCTTGCCATTCTTTAGGACAAGAAGGAAGAATCAGCCCTCTGTCACGTGCTGCTCTGCTTGGGGCCCTGGTGTCAGGACAGCCAGGGAACAGCCATTGCAAATGTGTGTCTGTCACAGAGTCAACAGGGAGCAGGTAATAGGAGGGTTATCACGAGTTGGAGAGAAGCTACAAGTCCCCACTGTCTACCCTGAGGACCGCAGTGAGCCCTTCAGACTTCTCCTGTTGGGATTCCTGGCACCTGGCTCCTTGATGGGAACTTCTGTTTTTTTCCCCCTGGGTTTTCTTTTTCCCCAGGCCAGGTGGTCCCCAGCAACAGGGACCAAAGATTTTCTTGTTTGCAGGGTCTTTGTCACCTGCTGCGCCACACCCAAGCTGTTTTCATGCCCAGGGGCCTTGCGTGAGTCCTTCTAACTGTAAGCCGTCACTGGTTCCCGGGCTGTGCACACTGTCACGTGTCTTGCCATCTCCGCTGTGCTAGTCAGCTTCCCATCCCTGTGACAAAATACCTCAGAAAAGCTACTCAGAGGAGGAAGAGTTTAGTTTGTCTCACGGTTTCAGAGGCGTCAGTCCATTGTTGGCTGGCTCCCTTGCTTTGTCCCGTGTCGAGGTAGACACCATGGCAGAGGAATGTGGGGAAACAAAGCTGCAGAGCTGCTCACCTTGTGGCAGCCAGGGAGGAGAGAGAGAGAGAGAAAGAGGCCATGGGCAAGACGTTGTCCCTGAGGTCACAGCCCCATGACCCGGTCCTTCCACTGAGCCCGCACCTCCTGCTTCCACCACCTCCCAAAGGAGGCCACCCAATCGTGGTCTCCTCCACGGATGAATCCACTGACGGAGTCAGAGCCCCCGGGACCCGATCGCATTGTGAAAGCCTCACCTGTGAACACAGGAGCCCCCGGGGGACGTTTCCTACACCGTGACGTCTCTAAATGCCTGTTGTTTCAGCTGTTATTTACGACGCTCCTTCCCTCCCTTTCTCTTCCTTTTCTTTCATAATCCTAGGATTGACCTAAGCAAGGATGAAACGGAGGGTTTGGCGTGTCAGCTCCAGTTCTTCCGGTGCATATTAAAGCACAGCAGTTCAGGAAGGGCTCGGCTGAGGCTCAGTATAGAGCACATGCCTAGCACGCATGGGGCACTGGGGTCCATCCCCTGGACCCCCCATGTGCTGAAAAAGTGCGTAGGTTTGAGCCATCTGCCACCTGGCATCCGGAGTCGCCCTGTCCTGCCAGGGGCCCAGGTGCACCCTCTTTGTGGTTTTATTGAGACAGAGACTTGCTGTCTAGTTAACACTGGCCTTGAACTCGCTTTTGTGGCCCAGGCTGCCCTGACCTCAAACTCACAGTGATCCTCCTGCCTCAGCCTCCCAAGTGCTGGGATTTCAGGCGTGCGCCACTGCACCTGGCTCCAGGTGCCCTCTTTGGAAATTCGGACCAAAGAAGAAAGGCAGCCCCTATGGCAGGGACCGCCCCCACCCACCCCCTCCACACTGCCCAGCTGTCAGCTTCACCACCACTGGCACATGCTCTTCCCAGGTCTGAGATGCTCCCACTTTGGTGCCTGCCCCCCCACAACTCATTGTGAGACTTTTCTCTATTCACAAATGGTAAGATTTGAAAGCTGGTGTGTGCTCCAGGCCGTTGCATGCAGGGTGCGCCGTGCCTCTCGGCAAGCTTGTCTTGTCTGTGTTGTTTTCGTAAGCCCCGGCTACCAAGCTACCTGGCGCAGGATAGTTCAGTAAACATTTGATGAATGAATAAGTGAATGAACAGTAAACAAATGCCCAAGCCTGTGCTCCGCATCTGATGTAAGCGATCACTTTCCACAGGTCATAAGATGGAGAGGAGTTTGCCTGCCAAGCGGAAGGACACCACTGAGGTCTTCATTCCCAGCAAACCTGAGCCCAACCTGAGTTCCCAGCCACCCGCCACGTTCCCAGACCAGGAGAGGGTGTGCTCCAGTAAGCGTCGGGGCCCCTGGCGGGAGCAGAGGGCTCGCAGTGCATGGGGCGCCACGACAGCAGGCCTCCTTTTCTCGCCCTCTTTGCTAGGGCTGAGCTGACCTTTAGCCAATGTAATATTCGGGATTCTCCAAAGAAACAAAACCAAGAAGGCTGTGTCTATATATAAGGAGATTATGTGAAGGCTGGGAGTCAGTCTGCACGCTGGGTCAGCAAGCGGGAGACTGAAGGAAGTCTGGCTGAGGGGCAGGGTGAACCTCTACCAAAACCTGCCCTTGGAAAGATTGGACCCACACAAGACAAAGCATGTTAGAGAACAGCATAAAGAGAATGGCTTTAGGGCTGGGGATTTAGCTCAGCGGCACAGCGCCTGCCTGGCAAGCACAAGGTCGTGAGTTCGATTCCCAGTACCGGGGGGAAAAAAAAAAAAGAGAGAGAATGGCTTTAGAGCCAGGCATGGTAGCGTGTGTCTGTAATGCTAGCTACTCAGTAGGCTAAGACAGGAGAATCAAGTATTTGAGGCAAGCCTGGGCAAGACGTAGTGAGACTGTCTCAAACAAAAAAGCAGCTTTAAGTGAAAAAGTATGTCATCCTGTGTAGCTGAGAAGTCCAAAGGTCGTGTGACCTGCAGGCACAGCTGAATCCAGACAGTTAAAAATATATCAGCAGTGGCTGGGGATTTAGCTCAGCGGCACAGCGCCTGCCTGGCAAGCGCAAGGTCGTGAGTTCAATTCCCGGTACCAGAAAAAAACAAAACAAAACAAAACAAAAAACCAAACAAATATATATGTATATATATATCAGCAATTTGCCTCGCTCCCCACTAAGCACTAAGCACCTCTGAGAGTGAAGGCCCCCAAAGAAGAACGGTGAGCTGCAGGGATAGCACAGGAGAGCTTCGTCTCAGCAGCCGTGCGCAGCCCTGACTTGTTATTGAACGGGCAGGTTCTGGGTCTGCACTGTGACGAAGGGAAGGCAGGTGGCTCACGTCCTCACTGCTGGGATCCAGGCGTGGACAAGGCACCGAGATCCTACGCCCTGTGGGGAAGCTGGGGCTTCTGACTGCATCCTCTTGCAGCTGGGAGTGGCCTGGGAGTGGTGACTACGCAGATCAAACCTTCTGCCGTGTGGACCCAGAGCCCAGCGGGGCATTTACAAGGGGTGATGCATGAGAACGTTTAAATTTTTAAAAACGTGTTGCAGTAAAAGATACATTACCGTCAGTTCCCCTCCACACATTCCCCTTGTCTTTGAGCACACTTACCCCCTCATTCTCGCCACTCTGAAGCTGAAGTCCTCTTCCTGGGTGTCTTTACAAGGTGTGATCAAAAATGCAGTGCACGCTGCTGGCACATAGTGTCCGGTGGAGAGGCAGGCTTGTGAAAGCATCGCAGTGTGGCCTCATCCACCTCACTCACCAGATCTGGCACCACACAACCTCTGGCTCTTCCCCAAAGTCAAAATGACCATGAAAAGTAAACATTTTGAATGGATTCATGGCAGTGCAATGAAAGACACTCAGGAAAGAGGGCTATTGGGGTCTTGGCTTAGCCCCAGTCTCCTAAATGAGCAGATGGCAAACAGCATACATAAAAGAGACAGTAGTATGATTTGGGGGGCTCCGGAAAGGCCAGAACTCTCTCAGGAGCCTGTGCTTATTCCACAGATTTGGGGTGCAGGAAGAGGAGGGTACAAAAGCCCAAAGTCTGTGAAGTTGGGACAAAGGCTGTAAATTTTGCCAATTAAGAGAACTGTGTGATCTCTAAGGTTGGCAGCTTTGTTGCTCTGGAATAGCGGGAGTCCGCAGCCTGTGTCCTGTGTCCTTGGCTGCCTCAGCGGTGGTGTCATCTTGACTTCAGAGCGCTTTTCCGACACAGCCAGAGGTGGCTGTGTTCAGCAACTTAACCCTGTACTGCCGGTCTCTAACAGAGGACTTCCGGAAGTGCCTTAGAAAGTGACAAGAATGCTGGGATGAGTGTGTTCAAAGCCAGGGGGAGTATTTTGAGGCAGATTAATGGCAGCGAGTCTTTTACTGTAATACATTTTTAAAATATTTAGATATTCTCCATGTTTTTTGATCACACTATATAGCCCCGGACTGGTTCCTGGGGGTTTCTTGGCAAAACCAAGCCTGGAAAGAGGGTTGACTGGAGCTTGATGAAGACTGAGGTGGGGGGTAACCACTGTGTCCCTGAAGTGGACGAGGTCACGGAGGTGTCACATCATTAGGTAGATGGTAGCAAAGTGATCTACAGGGATTGGGAACGAGATGGAGCAGTGAGGCGGCAGAAGGATCCGGTGAGCTCTGGCCCCGTCAACTTGGTCAGGAGCTGGGGAAGAGAGAAGAGGTGGGACAAGGTGACGGGCCTGTCAGCTCTGGGCACTCTAATGCGGTTGGGGATCATGGGGGAAACCTGTATGGCCTCCAGGATGGGCCCCACTGGTTGCTGCTCAGGCCTCCAACTCCAGTTTGCCCTGCTGCTGCTGTCTTCCCTCTGCATGAGAAATGTCAAAGGGCATCTAAGAAGTTCCGCAAAACCAGTCATTAGGAAAATGAGCCCCAGGGCAGTGGGCCACCATACTGGAGACAGCCCAGGGCAGGGCCTCACGATGGTGGCTGTCAGCTGGCCGGGACTCCCTCCTTCCGGCACATTCCACCATCATGGTTCTTCCATATCTGAGTCGCTGATTAAGAACAGTCCAGGAAAAGCACTGAGCTGGCTGCCAGGCTGCATTCGGCCCTGTAGATGCAACCTTATACTTGATCATCCACCAGCCTGCGCAGTGAGACCTGCAGTTATCAGCGCTGTGTACAGAAGGGTTAAGGAATCCGCCCAAGGCCGCCCAGCTAGTGAGTGGTGAGGCTGGTGTTGGAGAACCTGGGCTGCGAAATCTCTGCTCTCAACTACGCCCCTTTACGGCCCCGCATATACTGATGTAACTATTTTTTGCACACTTTAGACCCATATCAGCCTAACCCGGGCAGTCACATGCCTAAAATCCAGCTTTCAATCACTTGTTATATTTGTCTAGTTTTAGTAATACAAATGTATCACTACTAGTATTTTTGAAAGATAAACCGTACATCAACTAGAATCATCTTGCATGCTAGATTCATTTCCAGGGCTGTGAGAGTAAAGTACCACAATCCAAGTGGCTAATTATCCCACAGACTTACTGTTCTCACAGTTCTTGAGGCTCGACGTTCAAGACCACAGTCTTGGCTGGCCATGCTCTGAAGGTCGGAGGGAGGCTCTGTCCCGGAAGCAGCTCTTGTCTGTGGCAACACCAGTCTTCATACGGCACTCTCCGTGCATGTGTGTCTCTGTGTCCACAGCACCAGTTTTGGTTCTTTTGGGGTTTTTTTTTTTGGTCTTTTTGAGACAGGGTCTCGCTATGCAGTTCAGGCTGGCCTTAAGCTCACTTTGTAGCCCAGGCTGGTCTCGAACTCGCAATGATCCTCCTGCCTCAGCCTCCCAAGTGCTAGGATTACAGGTGTGCACCACCACACGCGGCTCACAGCACCAGTTTTATAAAGACATGGGTCGGCCTGTGTTAAGAGCCACCTTCATGACCTATTCTGAACATGATTGTCTGCACAGACCCCATTTCCAAAGCAGTCACAGGCACAGGCACCAGGGACTAAGATTTCCTTTTAGGAAACAGACTTAACCCAAAACATACAGCTTCATGTACAGGATTTTGAGAAATAGAGATTAATTTATTTATAATTTATTTCCTCTATAAAGTTCTGACATACTCTAACAGATTGTAGATAGCATATAGTGCCGGATTTAAAAACATGTGCATGGTGGCTCCATGCCTCTAATCCTAGCATTCTGGGAGGCTGATGCAGGAGGAGCCCAAGTTTGAACTTGAGCCCAGCCCAGGCAATTTAGCAAGACTCCTGTTTTACGGAGAAAGGGGGACACGCTAGGGATGTAGGTCACTACAGAGGCCCTGGATTCATCCCCAGTATGGCAAAAACAAACAAACAAACAACAAAATGTCTAAAGTACTCACAGTTGTGACTGTAAACTTCTGCATATATAAGAAAATGTACATCCCTGGCCCACCAATGAAAGTCAGATTTCCAGCTCTTCCGGGTATTGGGTCTTAGAATAATTTGTCCCAATTAGGACGTTTAAAGGGGATGCAGTTCAAGGTAGTAGAATCCTCGTTTTGAACAGATTTAGAACTTGCCTTCCTCTATAAATATACTTGACCAGGAGGAAAGTTGCAAGCTCTGCCACTGTCACTGCCCTCACATTGAGATGTGGTACAGGGAAGCCAGGTGTCACCCAGATATTAGTCTCCAGAGGCAACAGAAAGTGCAGGGGCCAAGCTACGCCTAGGTCCCTCAATCTGACAGTTAAGTGCAGCCTAGATGGCTTGGCACAGCAACGTCATACAAGTGTGTCATCTTGTAAGCCGGGGAAGCCTGTCCCTCCTGCACTGTGGGAAATCACGGCTTCTAGCTGAGTCCCAGGTGAGACTTGGTTAGGGTCTGGGTTGTAGGGAAAGTGTGTTATTACACACAGGCATCATGCGTGGGGGCCGGATGTTCACACCTCTGGAGGCACTAAGACCAGGGGCACCCTGGGGGGACAGCGGGACCCCAAACCAGCTCACCTTGCTCTGGGGAGAATTGAGAAGGGGCTGCCAGCATGCTTTATTCTACTTGGGCTGGGGTCTGTATTTTGGTGCGTACATACAAAATTAGGCTTTTTATATCTTCTTAGTGCATTGAAACTTTTATCATTAGGTAGGTCTGTCTTCAAAACATGTGAGGAAATGAAGGCAAAGGGACAGACAAGTGTGGAGAAGTAAGATGAATCCGGGGGAGACAAATGAGTGCTTGTAAATTCTTTTTGACTTAAAGTCCTCTGTGTCAGAGTTAGAGCTACGCCAGCTTTCTTCTGGTTAGTGTTTATGGGGGTATCTTTTTTCCATCCTTTTACTTTCAGACTTTTGCATCTTTATATTAAGGTTTGTCTCTT